ACTCGATGTGCCAAGAGAGAGACTAAGAGAGTCACTGGATACGTGTAGACTCGCCGAGTCGCCCTAGTGCACTCGACGAGTTGGGTCAAAGTTTGACCGGATTTTGGAGATTTTGTGGTATATTGTGATGCATCGATATCCGGATTGGGAGTGGTGCTTATGTAGAGGGGCATGTGATAGCATATGCATCGAGGCAGCTTAAGCCTCATGAGTCGAGATATCCCACTCATGATTTGGAGCTGGGAGCGGTAGTGTTCGCTCTCAAGATCTGGCGACATTATCTGTATGGGGTTCGGTGTACGATATACACGAACCATAAGAGCTTGAAGTATTTGATGGATCAGCCCAACCTGAATATGCGCCAGAGTAGGTGGTTAGACGTGGTCAACGATTATGATTGTGAGATCTTATACCACCCGACCAAGGCTAATGTTGTAGTCAATGCTTTGAGCCGTAGGGCAGAGGGCACCCCAATACAAGATGTCTGTTTGAGATTGACAGTGATGACACCGGTGTTGGATGTTATTCGTGGGGCCCAGGCTGAGGGTATAAAGCTAGAAAGCCAAAAGAGAGAGCGAGTTATCAGGCTAGTGTCGGAATTAGTTACCGATAGCAGGGGCTTATGACATTTCAAGGTCGGATATGGATGTCGTCCGTGGGTGGAGCGCGTACTATCTTGATGGAAGAGGCTCATCGATTGAAATTCTCGATCCATCCTGGGGCCACTAAGATGTATTTGGACCTGAAGAAGGATTATTAGTGGTCCTGTATGAAGAGGGATGTTGCATGGTTTGTAGAGAGATGCTTGACCTGTCGCAGGGTAAAGGCCGAGCACCAACATCCACATGGTAAGCTGCAGCCATTAGAGATTCCTGAGTGGAAATGGGAACAAATTACCATGGATTTCATCACCAAATTGCCAAGGACTGCGAGGGGTGTCGATACAATTTGGGTGATTGTAGACAGGTTGATGAAGAGTGCTCACTTCATGGCCATCAGTGAGAGCTCTTCTGCGAAGAAGTTAGTACAGTTGTACGTGAGAGAGGTGGTATCACGGCATGGAGTGTTGATCTCCATCGTCTCAGATCTAGATGTACGTTTCACTTCCAGATTCTGGAAGAAGCTTCATGAGGAATTGGGTATGATGGGCACAGTGAGCGGACGATTCAGACGCTCGAGGACATGCTCTGGGCATGTGTGTTGGATGTCGGTGGCAGTTGGGACATGTATTTTCCCTTGGCGGAGTTTTCTTATAACAACAACCATCATTCGAGCATTGGCATGCCGCCCTTTGAACTGGTGTATGGGAGAAGGTGTCTAACCCCTATTTGTTGGGGAGAAGTAGGGCAACGTGTGATGGGTAGCACCGAGATTGTGCTTCAGACGACAGAATAGATCCAGCAATTCAGACAGAGGTTGTTGACCGCTCAGAGTCCTCAGAAGAGTTATGCGGACAAACATTGGTCCGAGCTTGAGTTTCAGGTCTGCAACTTCATGCTCCTGAAGGTCTCTCCTTGGAAAGGAGTGATCTGATTCAGGAAGAGGGGCAAATTGGGGCCCGATATATTGGTCCTTTCAGGGTGATCGCGAGGGTAGGCAGGGTAGCCTATCGTTTGGAGTTGCTAGCAGAGTTGGGTCAGATTCATGACATATTCCACGTGTCGCAGTTGCGAAAGTGTATAGCTGACGAGTCGGCAGTGGTGCCATTAGAAGATATTCAAGTGGATGTGAACCTGAATTATGTTGAGAGACCGGTGGCGATCAGGGATCGGAAGATCAAGGTTTTGAGGAACAAGGAAATGCCTCTGGTGCAGGTCTAGTGGCAGCATCGGAAAGGGTCAGAGTGGACTTGGGAACCGGAGCGTGAGATGCGGGAGCAGCATCCGGAGTTGTTTGCAGAGTGAGACTTCGAGGGCGAAGTCTGATTCTAGTGAGGGAGAATTGTAACATTCGGATTTCCAGGTATTATATTTTGTACTTTTATTTTTTGGGTTTTGTGGGGAGACTCGGCGAGTTAGTGTCTAAACTCGCCGAGTATGGTCGCGGATTCGTTTACGACTTCACAGCTGGACTCGGCAACTTCACGAGTGGACTCGGCGACTCCACGTTGTTTAATGAAACCCTAATTTCCAGGGTTTGTCATCTATTTAAAGGCCCCTAGGGCCGTCAGTTGCGGCCACTAACCCCCAGAGAGAAACCCTAGGGAGATCTAGAAATTTTGTGAGGAATGGGAGGCCATTTTTGATCCTTTTTTGTGGGTATTTTTGTAAGAAGGAAGTGACCAAGGCAAGAGGAGGCTGAAGGAGGTGTGATTTAGGTGGTTTTTGAGCTCATAGAGATTGTATTGAGGTATTATTCTCAGACCTTCTTCAGTTTTTGGTGTTGATTCTTAGTGTTAGGGTTTTCTAACCCTTTTATAGGTTGATTAAGTGGAGCATTTGGTCCCTTCTCGAGTTTGTGTCCTGGATCTAGACCCAACGAGGTCCAGAGGCCTTATCCATTGGAGCTTTATGAGTCCATTTGGGAGCCATGAGCTAGGGATGTCATTTTTCGGGCTAAATCACCATTTCAGACCATTTAGATGTTATATGAGTGTCAAGGTCTGAACTTTATGTGATTATCATGCTTAGGGAGGCCAGATCTATGATTGTATGGAACAGATCCAACCTCAGGAGTTGTATAGAGTTGTGCATGGCATGAACTTGCCGATTCCAAAGAACAGAATCGGTGAGTAGTATGAAGGTTGCCCGTTAATCACTCATTGAGTGGACTTGCCGAGTTTGGGGAATGACTCGGTGAGTCAAGGAGAGTTAGGGGTCCGAGTTCACATTGGAACTCGCAGAGTTGTTCTTGAGACTCGACGAGTTGAGTCAGGGTGGTCCCGCGATTCATGCCAGGTGTAACTCGTTGAGTAAGGGAAGGACTCGATGTGCCAAGAGAGAGACTAAGAGAGTCAGTGGACATGTGTACACTCGACGAGTCACCCTAGTGCACTCGATGAGTCGGGTCAAAGTTTGACCATTGACCTTGTTGACTTTAGGGTTGAGTTCAGTTGTATTTGTTGGGATTAAAACCCTAATTTGTGATTTGATGAACAAGATGCGGAAAATAAGAACAAACACAATAATGAAGATAATGTCGAATGATCACTCGATTTATTGAAATATGAGGAATAAATTACACTTAAAGTATAGACTAAAGAATCTAACACTACATAAAAACCTCACGTGGCGGCTACATTTTGCCTCCTCTCTTAACCCTAATTATGAATAATACATGACTATTTATAGGGAAAAGACAAGTCTTGGGCTTTTAACCTAGAATTCATCAAAGGGGCCCATTGCCATCATCCATGGAGTGCTTTGAAACCCTACAATCTCCCCCTCAAAGTATGGAATGGATGACAATGCTTTAACTTCCAAAACAAGCATCTAGCAAATAAAAAGATCTGCAACGAGGAATATATGAAGCAATCCACGAATTTGATTCTTCAATAGTCTTCAAACACGGGCTCTAGGATATATAAATCAAGCACTGAAGTAATGTCTTTAAACTTCATTTTCGAATGTAATCCCAAAGAATCTTCATGAAAACCAAACCCGCCATAAAACCCATTAAAAACCCATTTAGAACAAAGAAACTGAATCACTTCTTGTCTTTGAAGAGCTCCCCCTCCAAGTCACAACGATCTTCAAATAAGCTAATGATATAAGCCATCAAAAAATATCATGTAACAACCCAAACTTTAAGATTCGTAACGCCACTTGATCGAGAAAATACAAGAAGTCGGAGATATAACAAGTCCTTAGCAGAGCTCGATGAAAAACTTCTACTGTAAAGGATACTTCTCTGTAAAAACCTTAGTAGAGCTCGATGAAGAACTTCTGTTGTAAAAGCTACCTTCATAATTCTCCCACAAGCTTTATCAAAAATCTTCAACTTTGAAAAGTCACAAATCCAATTTCGAATGGCCATACCAAATTCTCCCCCGATTTATAATCAAAAATGATTATAAAGCCTTCAAATGGTCATGAGAATGATCTTGAATGGATAAAAATTTACTATGCTCCCCCGCGACAAAAAGATATACACAAAAAAATCCGAAAAAAAATCGTGAAAACTTGATGTTAAAAAAAAACGACTTTCCGAACCGCCAAGACTTGATGGAATCATTATTTTTCTGTTCACGAAAAAAATATGAGCGTTGAAAAATCCAAAACTGTTCACCAGCCCTTAAAATTGCAAATTTTTCGAAAAACGGGCTGAAATTGTCACTTGCTGAAAAATAGGGACTGAAATTGTAATTCTGCATCAATACTCCCCTTAATTTCTGACAAAATCTGGAAATCGTCCATAATCGCCAAGATGTGAAAACAATAAGGACCAGAAGTGTCATTTCGTTGAAGTTTCAGGGACCATTAATGTAACTTGATATCTTCTTCCCCAATTTAGATGCTGATAAAAGGAATGCGCGACTGGAACAAATGCTACAGATCATACTTTCGTTTCAAGTACAAGCAGCCGAACCTAAGTTCGTTTCAAGACCACCATTTATTCACGCGAACCTGATTTAAAGAACCGAACGTTCGGTTCGTTTCTTATTTTCATATCAAGCTTCATCAGGCGAAACTCCTTTCGCTTTCGGTTCATCCTAGTCCCAGCATAAACACGCGAATCCAAGATCGAGGTTCGTTCCAATAGCTACCAAAGCGAATCTCCCTCCTTTCGTTCCAAGTGCTAACAAATGACCCCAAGTTTATTTCACGTTCGTTTTGAGCACAAGCCTTCATACCGAGCCCTGAGTTCTGAACACCAAGAATCTCACCCAAAGCGAACCAATTTCAAACACGAACCCAATGTTAGATCGAGGTTCGTTCCAATTCCGTTGATTATACCCCAAGGCGAGTCTCCATTCCCAGGTTCGCTTATTGTTCTCACTGTACATTCTCTTCAAGACCTTTGGTTCCAATTTTTAACAAGCGAACCCAAGATCATTCTAGACTCGTTCCAACTCCATCAATCAAAGCGAATCCACATTAACGAACGTCGGACCTTTCGCTCCGAATTAGTCACACAGATGTTCGTTCGATCGTTCATAGGTAAGGTAATTTTGACCTTCGTTTGATAATTGTTCTTCTCAATTGATTTCCAATTCCAGTTTCATTCGTTCGCAGTGAATATCATCAATTTTGACTTTTTGATTTTGACTAACGTTTGCACCTGTTACGATTTCATTCCGATAAACTCTCAAATCCGATTCGTTCTCAGTGAGTTCAATGGAACCAAAGATTTTACATTACCATTCCATCTCGTTCCGATAGACGCCATCCAACATCACAACTTTGAAACCAAATTCTGAGAAATTGGTACCGACTCCGAGATCTGTATTCTAATTGAAAAAGCCATCTGTTCTGATTACAAGCTAATCTGTGATTGGTGATTTGAGTTCCGTGAAAATCACAAGTCATTTCCAGATCGAATGTGTTTTTCATTTAAAATAGCAAACTTCCTTCAATGGTTCATCAATGTACCCAGAAACTCATGAACAACAATCGATAAAAAAAAAAACTTGAAATCAAAAGGAATCGATTCATGAGTCGATAATCACGACACGGATGTTGAAATTGATAATCACGAATGATTGAATTTAAGCACAGAACAAAAACGCAAACGGAAACGGAGACATAGATGTAATATTAGGGCCAAATAAAACTGGATCGTGATTTACCATATGGACGAGGAATAGTGAATTGACCAAAAGATTGGGCCAGATTGAAGAATTTACGAACAGATCCAATTAGGTCAAAACAGAGTAATAAAACCGATGAACTGATTCAATATGAACAGAAGAATGAATCGAAAAATACCAGATGAACAGTATATATCTCCATGAACAGTAACTTGTACAAAAATCTTGATTTCACACCGCCAAAACACCAATAATCTTCAATATATGTGCAGAAAATCACCAAATCAAGAACCGATACTTCAAAAATCCATAGATCTTCAAAGCCCGTGCTGATACCACTTGTTGGGATTAAAACCCTAATTTGTGATTTGATGAACAAGATGCGGAAAATAAGAACAAACACAATAATGAAGATTATGTCGAATGATCACTCGATTTATTGAAATATGAGGAAAAATTACACTTAAAGTATAGACTAAAGAATCTAACACTATATAAAATGTTTATGTTATTTCGAAAACCATATGTCTTCCGTTTGCTATATTTTTTCTAGTTTATGAAACTATTTTTGAACTACAACCTACAGAAAATGAGCAGGAAATGTTGTAAAAGAGCCGCTAGTTAGTTGTGAACTCTAGTTAACTAGAAGCAAGTGGTGTTAGGTATAAATCTACTTGTGACTAACATAGGGGCAACATGGTCTTTTTATAAAATATTTCGTTGTCTTCATGTTGAATGGATTTTTGTATAACCAAGTTTGCTTTCTATAGCATGGTTATATAAGTGGATGTATTGTGTTAGGGTGTATTGGGTTATAAGTGTTGTAAGTAAGACACAAATTGTAGTTTTTTGTCCCACCTAAAAGATCAGATTCTAATGCTCACAAAAATTATATTATTTTCGAACAATAAATTTTGCAATGTGAATAATAGCCAATACCTTGTAACATGAAGTTATAACAAAAAAGTTGGTATTTTTTGATTTATGTATTTATATTTTTTTTTTCAAAAACAAGATTGAGGTGGACGTTAAATCTGATAGCATTTTATGAAATCTTGCAATAAACAAAATAAATAATGAGGTGCGTTTAACTTCTGATATACAAACTGAAGGGTCTACAACCTAGGGGTGTCAACATTTATTGATAGTGGTATCTGGTTGGGGGTTAAGTCCTTTTCGGGATATTTAGGATTAGATTTATGGAATGTTAGTTGTTAAAATAAAATTTTCATCTACAAGTTTAGATTGTAGATATTTAGTTGTACATATGGTATTTCTAGTTGTGATCTTGTTTCAAATGTATATGTTGTTTAGGTTCTAAAGTTATGTTTTTATGTCTATAAGTTTTTACGAAATTATTTCAACACATATATAAATTACATCACAACCTCAAGTAAACAAAGAAACAATCGTCTCGCTTTTAAACAAATTCAACATTACATGAAGTCTTAATGAGAAGACATTGTAAGACCATCCCCATCAATGAAATTGTAAAACTATGCTCAATTTCCATCCACAAAATTACATACCATTTTTAAAATAATTATCACTATCATTTCAAAAAAATGTTTTCTAATAATTCCACAAAGCTTTTGATTACATCATTTCTTGATCATGTTTATTTCAATTTTTTGACAAACGATGATAAAATGATAGTTTCTCGATTGAATCGTTTTCCATTTGGGTACCTTTTTTTATTCAGATCACCCAAAACACATAGTAACAAACCGTCATCACCTCACATTACACTTATTTGAAAGAGTTTTTTGAATTTTCAGAAAGAAGAGCCACGAAGCTTGTAAATCCCAAGCTGCAACAATGATAGGGGAAGCTACAGGGTGAGATGAACCTTTTGTTTCAATAACTTCACCACAAGCTCCTCGTCGGTGGGGAAGAACTTGAGCCCTAGTGGTCATCAGAGGCTACATGTCATCATTTTCAACCTATTTGGCAGATCTAACCGGTTATAATAATGAGTTGTTTACCCAAGTTAGCCGGTAACCAAAACACGGAAGTTTGTTGGGCTACAATGACATTTACCCTTCCCAAAATCAACAAGAGCCTATAAATATCTCAATGTGAAGATATATTTCTTTAGAGACTTTCTTGGCCCGGAAAGGATAAAATATTTGATTATTATATGCATGTTGACCACATATAAGTTGAAAAGATATCGTTAGTTATATTGTTTGCGAATTTGAGATTAGATATTTTTATCCTTTCTTCACCAAATATAAAATATATAATATCCTTTCTTGGCTCTGAAAGGATAAAATATTTGTTAATTATATGCTTCTTGACCAAATATAAGTTGAACAAATATCATTAATTATATTGTTTGCGAATGAGGGATTAGATATTATTGATAATGATATTACAAAACTTGCAGCACTATTATTTAGGTCTTATTTTGTAACGATCGATGCATTGGGTTCTTTAAAGAAATGAAATTAAAAAGAAGGTGGACAAGATTATCATCCATAACATAGTTAAATAAAGAAAACCTAAATACCTAAAAAAAATTAAAAGTAAAGTATTTTTAATAAAGATTATGTCAATAGAAAAATAAAAATAAAAAGTCAATACTAGCTACTCTAATTACTTATCTAAAATGGAAAGAGTACATACCTGCATTTGTATGACATTGATTTTGAAGGCTATTGATGCCAATGCATGTGTGCAAATCGTCGACCAAAACTTGCAAAAAATGTGCATCAGCAACCTACTTGCGACAATATTAAAAGCTCACATGGAAGCGATGTACAATGAGACACCATGAGCAGTCTCACATTTATATTGATGTGGTTACCAATAGCTAAGTGAATCCGGTCGATGTGGGATGCATAAAAGGCGCACACACACACACATATATACTTAAAACGCCCCTTATCCATCTGAATGTGGTTTGCTAATGGAACTAAAAAGATCTCTACATTAATAGAATCTCTTTAATTGGCTAGAATCGCATACATGAATGAAACTAAATCTTGTGTCGTACCCCAGATTAACCTTATCTGATTCTCAGCTACAACTAACATTGTAGCCACAAGGTTAAACCACCCAAAATAGATTACACCCGATTGGTAAGTGAAAAAAATTGATAGAACTGGTAAGCATTAACCTTCTCTCACAATCCTCCTTCAAAAAGAAATACCCTTTATCTCATTTGATGTATTTGCTTTTTGAGAGAAAGTAACTTGGTTTAAGGATGTTAAGAAAATATTTATATAGTTCCCAAAAGTACTATTTCATTTAAAGGTAGGATTCATGAAATGTTTTCCTGGAAAATTATGAGAGGAAGAGAGGGTAAGTCGTTGGAGAGATTTAATTATTCAACTAAAAATGTATTGTATTCAATGGTAAAAAAAACTATTTTGGGGTCGATTCTAAATATTCTACCAAAAAGTGCATTGTCACCAATGCTCTATGTCCCATTTGGAATATTTAGTATTAGATTTTTGGGATGTTAAAGTGTCGAAAAAAACTTTTAATATACGAGTTTAGATTTTAGACATTTAGTTGCAGTTGTGGTATTTCTATTTGTATCCTTGATTTGTATGTATACATGTTTAGGAGTTAAAGTTATGTTTGATCCTATTTCTACATTTATGAGATTATTTATTTCAACATATATGTTAATTTCAGCAAAACCTCAAGTGAATAAAGAAATAATCGATCTTTCTTTTAAACAAACTCAAAATTTCATGAAGTTTCAATGAAAACACATTAAATTGTAAAATTATGTTCATTTGCCTTCATTTCAAATTACATAAATGCAATTAAATACCTTTTTTCTGAAACAGTTATCACTATCATGTCAAAAATTATTTTATAATTTACAACAAATATTTTAATCATTTGTACTTACAATAAAAAAAAAAAGACTTCCACATGACATCCTTAAAAGTAACCTTGATTTTCCAGTTTATTAGCAAGGCTTCACCACCAACACATGTTATACCTTCTAAGCTTTCCAAAAAAAATGCCCGATTTGAGACTTGACAATGCTTCCAGTTATAGTTTTCTTATTGTGGTAACCTCCTTGCTGACTACTCAGTTCCTTGATCCTTATTAGCCACTTAGTATCTGATTTAACTGTCACACCTTATATTTCTTGTTGCTCGGTATGATCCTGTTGGGATTGCTTTGATAGAATTCAACAGTTTTGAGGTAAGATATAAAACATTCAAAAACTTGCAGAATTTGATACAAA